TAACACCTCACCCGTCTGTTGACCACTGCCTCTCCTAACACCTCCACCCATCTGTTGTCCTCTGCCTCTCCTAACACCTCCACCCGTCTGTTGTCCACTGCCTCTCCTAACACCTCCACCCGTCTGTTGACCACTGCCTCTCCTAACACCTCCACCCGTCTGCTGTCTACTGCCTCTACCCGTCTCCTGTCCACTACCTCTCCTAACACCTCCCATTGCCTGTTGTCCACTGCCTCTCCTAACACCTCACCCGTGCTAGCTTTCTTCCAATATCTACCCGCTACCAGAGTTTGCGCCCGCCTGCACCTAGCCCTAGATTAGCGTATACCTGTGTGATCCTATGTGTTTATAAGCGTACTGCTGTGTAGAACCCCAGTGTTAGTTGCTGTCTGATGATTGCCAAGCAGCATGAGCACTCGAAGTTACAACCCAACTGAAGGTTTTCTGGCCAGTCTGCTATTTTTGGTTGTCGTATATAATTATGCAAATTGATCATTGTCATTTCCTGTGCGCAGAGATTTGTTTTGGGATCTTCTTATCCAGCCACATCTGATCCTTTCCACTCTAGTTCTGTCTGTTGAGACTGAATGGCCATTGTTTTTTTGCTCTCTCTCTCTCTCTCTCTCTCTCTCTCTCTCTCTCTCTCTCTCTCTCTCTCTCTCTCTCTCTCTCTCTCTCTCTCTCTCTCTCTCTTCTCTCTCTCTCTCTCTCTCTCTCTCTCTCTCTCTCTCTCTCTCTCTCTCTCTCTCTCTCTCTCTCTCTCTCTCTCTCTCTCTCTCTCTCTCTCTCTCTCTCTCTCTCTCTCTCTCTCTTTTCTCTCTCTCTCTCTCTCTCTCTCTCTCTCTCTCTCTCTCTCTCTCTCTCTCTCTCTCTCTCTCTCTCTCTCTCTCTCTCTCTCTCTCTCTCTCTCTCTCTCTCTCTCTTTCTCTTTCTCTCTCTCTCTTACTTTGAACTCACAGTTGTGCTGTGGCAATGCTGCGACAAGCCCAGAACGACGGTTTCTATCGGCGTGAACATGTTCTGAATCACATTGGTGAGTGACGACAGAGTGTACTAGTTGATATGCATGTTCTCACCTTTTCTTCTGGATAAAGGCACAGTTGCCGTCATCTTTTTAATTCACTTCTTGTTACTGTACAGGCAGAACATTCCGTTGGTTAATAATTTTCGTCCAACTCCAAAGAAAGGGAGTTCGTCCGGTTGAAAATTTCGCCCATGGATCACAAGGGTGTATTGAAAAGCTGAACAAATCGACATTATGATGAAGAAAGGAAAAGGACAAAATGTTACGAGTTATGACAAATATTGGCTCACCATCCGAGTTCAAATCGACATTAGTCCAGCACTTAATTTAGTCCAAAAGCTCCTTGGACGAAAAAGACGAAATTAAATTGCAATTAAATTGCGCCTTGATCCACACAGGGTTGTAGCGTCTCTACGGATGCAGAAAACGTGGACCGTGATTTTTTTAACCCTTTGTGTACCAGCCCCATCTCGAACCGTAACGTATGTTACGGTTCGACGCACCGCACTGCGCCGCGCCATTCGGCGGCGTCCTTGCTCCGGTCGACTCGCGGTTTGTTGCGCTGGACAGCTGAGATCCCACTGCAAATTTTGATGTATGATGTGGGTAGGTTGCCATTTGAAAGTATGGAGAACGATCGCGGCGAAAAGTGCGCTTTGCAATTTCAGCGCTCTGCGATATATTTTAGCAATTTCGATCGTGTTTTCGTTCGGTTACGCTGCTTGTATCTGGAATATAGCTTGCTCTAGCTGTTGTCGATGTCTACTAGTGATGGTGAACGCCAGGAGAGAGTTGTAGTAGCGATATAATCTCAGGATCTGAATCGAAAATGAGAATTTCCATCGCTGAAGCCATTGCAGTATTCGCTCTCCAAGCAGCGGCGAGAGGGAGCGCAGCGATGGCCTGAAATAATCAAGGCAGGTGAATTTCCTCACCCATCGACTATTCCTGGTCTTCTCAATCGCCAATACCCTCGCTGGACGCAAGTACATATTTAAAGTGAAAAGTACATATTTAAATCTGACACAATTTCAATAATTTGAAATTTTGATGCAATTGTTTGGCATCTGGTATTCCCGCAATATGGCTCTTTTCCGTCCATTTCGCTTAGGGCTGCAAGGAATATTCGAATATTCGATTGATATTCGTTAGGAACCCGATGGAAGGAATATTTTCCCCTTTAGAATATTCGTTCGTTTTGACACGTCGATCAATTTGTAGTAATTCTTGAACGGATGGAGTGATATGTACATGTGTTATGTGTTGAGAAAGGGGACTATGACTCACAGGAGTAGTGGACATGACTCCACTAGACATCGACTTGGTCTAGAACAACTGGGGACTAGCCAAACTCTTTCATAGATTCTTTTGGTATAGAATATTCTATTCATTTACAAAAAAATCGATTTAGTTCCTATTTAAATAATTGTTTCGACCTTAGAGATAATTCAGCATTTTGAGAGAATATTCGTTATTCGTTCGTTATGGATGAGTATTCGTTCGTTTGTGAAATAGAATATTCGTTGCAGCCCTAAATTTTCGCTATTGTTGAAGCATGCAACTGGCGGCTATACACTAGTGCAGTGGTCTCCTGTTGCTGTGTGTGAAGAAGGGCAATGTCAGCAAGTATATTCACGATTCCAAGTTCACGGATCTAAATTGTCAGGAATATGGACTGTATCTGTAGTTGTGTGCTCGGTCAAAATATTTTCTTACCTGGACACATTGATACCAACAGATTCAGAAAAACATAACTTGCACATACAACATGTGTCTTAGTTTTATGCTATAGGTCCATCATTACCGATGAGTACCCCGCGCATACATTAGATGCCTGGTACACAAAGGGTTAATACTTCAAGTATATATTTTTTGGGCTGTTGCGGTGGACTGATCTTCTTCCCTGTGAGGTCTCTCAATTCTGTGTGTTTGTATGCGTTTGTCTATTGTTGCGTGTGTGCTGTCTTCATGATGTCAGGTCATCGCCTCCGTGCTCGTAGAGAAATGGCAGAGTGGTACAGTGATCAAGAAGTGGGGGAGTCCATCTTGAGGTGAGAATGCGTCAAGACCTGCCGCACTGCACCGTGACTTGTTTAGTGCCGTGCGTGTGTGTGTGTGTGTGTGTGTGTGTGTGTGTGTGTGTGTGTGTGTGTGTGCATATGTGTGTGTGTGTGTGTGCATATGTGTGTGTGCATATGTGTGTGTGTGTGTGTGTGTGTGTGTGTGTGTGTGTGTGTGTGTGTGTGTGCATATGTGTGTGTGTGTGTGTGTGCATATGTGTGTGTGCATATGTGTGTGTGTGTGTGCGTGCGTGTGTGTGTGCGTGCGTGTGTGTGTGCGTGTGTGTGTGTGTGCGTGCGTTTGTGTGTGCGTGCGTTTGTGTGTGCGTGCGTTTGTGTGTGCGTGCGTTTGTGTGTCCGTGCGTTTGTGTGTGCGTGTTTGTGTGGGTATGGGTGTGGGTGTATGTGTGCGTTTGTGTCTGTGTGTGGGTGTGTGTTCTTTCGTTGTTCTCCGGACGAACAGTCAAGGAAGCTAAAACATCTGGCTCAAACTGGCTCAGGATGTTGAGCACTTGTTGAAAGTGTTCATGCCAGCGCGCTGCCTGGTCTTCAGCGGATGCACAAATTACACCTTCTTTGTCACGTATCGTCGTAACTGCTTTCCGACGGAGGCCCTGAAAGCAGCGCTGGATATCCCGGATAGCCGTCCACGGTGATTTCTCCGCGGTTCTGCGCCCTGCCTATGGTTTGGGCTGCGTTACGTTCCAACCACTGGTTCTTGGCGTGGCGAACACCTCTTGTCGCCCTGGAACGGGCGAGTTTGTACTTTGCACAATCACTGGCATATCCGCTGGCAATCCATATCTATTATACGTTAATCGACGCTCCTCAATCAGTGCTCCAAGCACGTCCTGCTGGTCAGAGAACCAGTCAGGTTGCCGACATGCAGAGAAACCAAGAGTGGTCTCCGCAGCAGTGGACAGCGACGTGGCAAGGGCATCCCAGTGCTCCTCGATAGACGCGGCTGCGGGGATATCCGCAAGACGAGAGGCAACTGACACCTGATAAGCTGTGACATGAGTGGGGGTACTCACATCAGCATCCGTTGCCATTGGTGAAGCGGGTGACCGCTTCTGCAGGTTTACGGCAAAGTGCCGCTGTTTGGGCTCAGCCTTATCACGAGACAGCCACATCCGCTGAAGCTGAACGGTGAGGCATACCATACGATGATCTGAGCCACAGTCCGCATTCAGCACAACGCGACAATCACGACACAGGAGTCGGTCCTTTTGATGCATGATGATGAAGTCTATTGCGTGCCATCGCTTGGTCCTGGGGTGCTGCCAGGATTGTTTGTGGAATGGTTTCTTTTGAAACCAAGTGTTGCAGACGGTTGCATTGTTCATGTGCAGGAATGAAAGCAACTCCGCGCCTGACTCGTTACACTCGCCAAAACCATGGGGGCCACGAACTCCCTGCCAGTCATCAGCAATTCCAGATTGACGGGAACCAACTCTGGCGTTGAAGTCGCCTAGAAGAACAAACTTGTCTTCGCCAGGCACATCCCGTATCGCGCGTTGCAGATCGTTGAAGAAGCTGTCCTTGGCAGATCTCTTGGCGCGGAATGTCGGTGCGTAACAGGCGATGACATGGAGATTGACCGACTTTCTACTGTGCCCCGACACGAAGCGAAGCTCCTCCAGTGCTGCTTGTACTCCTTCCATACGCTCCTCCAGTGCTGCTTGTACTCCTTGCACTTTAAGTTGCAGTCGCTGCTCCACGGCTGCTACGGCTGCCTCGATTTTTTCAGTTTGTTCTTCCAGTCGCTGAACAATGAACTGGCTGAGCTACTGACTGCGGCCGAGCTTCACCGAGCTATCACAAGCTTGAGCAACACCAAGGCCCCTGGAGAGTCTGCATTCTACCTGAGATGATGAAACATGCTGGTCCTGCTTTCACTGGCGCTCTACTAGAGCTAGTCCATCAAGTCTGGCGGGAGACTTGCGTGCCCCAGGCGTGGCGTGATGCCGAGATTGTACCGATCCCCAAAAAGGGTGACCTGTCCAGATGTGACAACTGGAGGGGCATTGCCCTTCTCGACGTGGTGGGCAAGGCTGTGGGCCGTCTCATCCAAAACCGCCTGCAGATACTGGCTGAGGAGGAACTGCCGGATTCGCAATGTGGCTTCCGGCGAGGCCGCTCCTGCATCGACCAGATTTTCTCCTCCAGCTGACAGAGAAACTGTACGAACACCGCACCAGCAGCTTTGCAATCTTTATCGATTTAAAGAAGGCGTATGGCTCTGTTCCTCGTGAGGCTTTGTGGGCTGCTTTGCGCGCTCTAGGTGTACCTGAGAGCCTGGTTCGTCTCATCGCGTCATTCCATGACGTCATGTTTACCCGTGTCCGTGTTGGGGACAGGCATACTGAGCAGATAGCGGTGAACAATGGTCTGCAACAGGGATGTACAATCTCTCCCGTCCTCTTCAATCTCTACTTTGCCCTTGTATTCGAAAAGTGGCGCAGTCGACATCCAGGCGCGGGCATTGACTTCAGGTTCAACATCAACGGCAACTTGTTCAACAACAGCCGCACGTGTCACCAGCGTTCTGCAGCTTTAGATGTGGAATTTGCTGATGATGCTGCTCTTATGGTGCCCTCCCGTGAAGTGGCTGAGTTGCATGTGTGTTTGCATGTGTGTGTGTGTGTTTGTGTGTGTTTGCATGTGTGTGTGTGTGTGTTTGTGTATATTGTTACTTTGTTACTTCTGCAGACAAGAGATTGCTGTTCATCTCTCAAACAATACGGACAAGTACAACATGCTCGTGTAAGTCATGGCCTCTTTTGCCATGTTTCTTATCGGGAGGTGGTGCTGATGGTGCTCGTGCTGCTGCTGCTGCTGCTGCTGCTGGTGGTGGTCATGCTGCTGCTGCTGCTACTGCTGTTATAATTACTGCTGCTGTTACTATGCTGCTGTTATTGCTGCTGCTGCTGGTGGTCATGCTGCTGCTGCTGCTGCTGCTGCTGCTAGTGGTGCTGGTGGTTTGGTGCTGCTGCTGGTTGGCTGGTTGCAACGTCGATCAGGAACCTTTGCACCCAGTCGCGGGCACTGTTGCAGCTCAGTCATGAGGGATCACTTTGCCTGTTTGCAACGCCAATCGCTTCACCAGTTGATCGAAACCAGCACACTGGTGTACCCCGATTATCCTTGTGCGATGTTGTGAGAATACGTGGGTATGCATGCAGCTTTGCTCTGTGATTTTCCATTGCATGTAGTCACTTGGCTCTCCCATTTCCTATACACTGCTCTGATGTATTCGGGTGCAAGCGCTAAAGCTGGTATGTGTTTTCACGTGTGTGTGTGTGTGTGTGTACGAGTGTGTGTACGAGTGTGTGTGCGCACGTGCGTGTGTTTGCGTTGGTGCATGTGTGTGTTGTGTGTGCGTGTGTATGTATACATGGGTTGTGTGTTGTGTGTGCGTGTTACGGGCGTGCAGGTTTGCGTGGCGCAAAATGCTCAGCCTAGTTGCTGGCAAATCGTGCGCGGACTCTGCCGACTCACCGATGAACCAGGAGATTCTCCTCGGCGGCCATTTCTACTTGCAGGTCCTTAAGGTTCGTGCAGTGTGCTGGGAAAACAACAACAACAACAACAACAACAACTACAACTTTCTCTGTATATCCACGCTTGTCTTGTCAATACCCACACCGTCCTCAAATCAAGTGGTCTCTTCGCTGCATATTGCTAGTACAGTCAGACCTCGTTTATCCGGTCCTCTTTTATTCGGATCCCTCGCGGTCCGGAAGAAAATAGCTGGTTACAGATTTACAGCATACGTAGCGCATCCAACACAATCGGTGTTCGGTTACCCGGTTCCTCGCCTATCCGGATATTTTTGTGGAAAACGAGTGTGTGCAGTTAAGCGAGGTCTGGCTGTATCTTAATCAAATTTTCCGCCAGGAGCCATCAGGATTACCATAATCCTGGTGATGGCTACTGGCGGACAATTTGATTGAGATACTAGACCTTGACTTGATTTCAGGATAGTGTGTGTAGTGTTTATCATGTAATGAAGTGGATGCAGTGTAGCTTGTGCACATTAACCCTTTACTGTCCGCACATACAAGCATCGATCCAATGGGATCGATGGGGTAGGCATTTTGAAATTATCGTAACTTGGTCAAATCTAGGTCTTTTGGAGAGATCGAAATATGTAGGTCGAAGAGAAAAGTCTCAGCTGTCGCCTCGAACAATTCCCGAAGCGATACGAAGAGCGGTTGCTGAGTTATCGCACTCGTAATTTTGGTCCCGGGAAAAGTGCGTTCAGAGCGCGACGCGCATGTCGACGGCTGGGATTTTCCCTGTTTACGTCACCTGTTGGCAAGGCTACACCGATTCAAATTCAAAAGTAGGTTCCCGGGAGTCTCTACGAAAATATTTGAGCTCGATACGAGCAACAGGGGTGACATGGTGGATTGAGATCGATCTCGAGCGTGAGCTCAGCGCTTTTGCGCGTTCCCTGGCTTGCAGCGCTGGACCAGTGCATCCTGTGGCGCCGAGTGTGGGCTCATTGCGTTCGTCTCGTCAAGACCTTTCCAGGATGCCCAAGATCGTGGAAATCGTCAAATTCAAACCAAAGTTACGTCTCATTTTAGTTTCAGATTTTGTGGTTGCGTGGGCTTGTATACATTTTAATCGGACAGTAAAGGGTTAAGAACTGTCTGAAGAGTACATTACAGGCTAGATTGTGTGAAGCTCGGTTGGGTTACTGTCACGGCGAAATGCCGCGATTACATCGTGTTCGTGACGCAGTGCGTGCGCGCATGCAGGATTCAGGCAGCTTGCTTGCTCCACGACTGCAGCTCAGTTGTACGCACTACACCACATCCCGTCGCACCGCTTGTCTGCACGAAATATGATGTTATCCCGTAATGTGGCGGTGACACACACCCATGCGGGAAAGTCAGAACCTGCACACTCTCCGTTTCATTTACTGTAGAACCGGAAAGTTTAGTGTTTTTTGTAATTTTGGCATGATGACGTGCAGAAAGTCAACGATGGCTACCTGGCCACCCATCTGTATGCGCATCTTTACGCAGACATCTCGAACCGGGTTCGCGATGGCATTTCTTCAAATAGCGAAAAAATATTGTTCGTTAAAACGTTAGACTTTGCGACTGGTTAGACTTTCCGGGTTTACAGTACTCCTGGTGTTGTCAAGAGTACATAACCCCCCTCCCCCTCCTCCCCCCAAGTCTTGCAACTCGACTATGGGTGCTGTCCCGACAGAATTTCAAGTTCGACGTCATTTTTATGATGCAATGCACGCTGTACTGTACACGGATTATCAGACGAATCCGAAACCTGTGGTGGACCACAGCCCATCTCATCCTGTACAAATTATTGCAAAGAAAAACATGTGATGCGTTGGCACCCGTACACATGTTGTAAATCACTGGTGCAAGGAGCGTTCGCGCGAAATTTTGCATGTGCCGTGCTGTTCAAACCTGGCGTGAGATACGCACAGAAGTACGTTTGTACGATTTTCTTGACCCGGGTTGATTTCAACCCTCCCCTTGGGGGAGGATTGAACTCAACCCGGGGCGAAATTTCAACCCGGGTCAAGCGCAATGCGTCATGTAAACGTGCCATTCATTTCGTGTACATGGCGGGTTGAAATCTGACCCGGGTTGAAACGCTTCATGTAGACACGGCCTATGAATTGCCCGTAACTCTGACCGTACATGCTTATTGCATGCTAGGAAAGATTTATGCCAATCAAAATGACTGTTTTGGGGTAGTTTCCGTTGAAAACCGTATTTTCAGAGTCTAGATGGATCAGAACGGTGCCCGGTAGGCGTATGTGCTCGCATTAGGGACATCCGCATCTGGGGAATTTTACTGTACATGGTATATGTGTGTATGTCTGTGTGTGCGTGTGTGCGTGTGTGTGCGTGCGTGCGCGCGTGCGTGCGTGCGTGTGTGTGTGCGCGTGCATGTTGGTCGGTGTCCTCTCGTTGCTGCTGCAGGAGAAGATTTCTCAATGGCTGCAGGCGGTACGCGGTGAGCTGACACGCTCCATGAAGATGCACCCGGACAAGTTTGACCTCACCACCAGTAAGGGGTCTCTTTGTGCAACTCTTTAAAGGGCCATTTTCTCATATTGCCAGATGTTAAAAATTATCAAACTGCAAGTACCCTAAAGTACCATTGATCCTCCACGCCATGTCCCTTCCTAGCTGGTCCTCCACGCCATGTCCCTTCCTAGCTGGTCCTCCACGCCATGTCCCTTCCTAGCTGGTCCTCCACGCCATGTCCCTTCCTAGCTGGGTTTTCAGCAGGGGGCGCGAATTAGATCAAGGCTGTCAAGTGCAGTATGATGTACAACAACTTGGAGGGTCAGAGTCGATGTGCTGGATTTTGCACATGTTCATCCTGGATTGGCACATATCGTGTACAGCAGTGCAAGCGTCGGTTTAACATCGTATTTCTTTGTATACGCCGAAGTTGCTTCACAAGTAGATAATCGACAGGGGGGGGGGGGGGGGGGGGGTAATTAGAGAGGGGGCGGTTCAACGTTGCTTTACGGTACTAGTACATGTACGGTATCCCTAGTATCAAGAGGACACAACCACCCCCCCCCCCCCCCCCCACCAAGAGTGTGCAACTCGACTATTAGGTGCTGTCGCGTTGCATCATAAATAATGTACTTGAACTCCTGTCGGGGCAGCAGGGTACGTGGGAGTTGCACACTCTTGGGGGGTTATGTACTCTTGCTATTATCTGGTCGTTATGCATGTATCCAAAAACAAAGGTTGAAATACTTTGATTGTATTGTTTTGGAATGGGATTCTCGGCCACCATCAATACGCATAACAGCATCTTCAGCAAAAGTCAAGTGCCACCATGCCCTGTCTGTGTGTGCGTGCGTGCGTGCGTGTGTGTGTGTTTGCGTGCGTGTGTGTGTGCGTGCGTGTGTGTGTGTGTGTGTGTGTGTGTGTGTGTGTGTGTGTGTGTGTGTGTGTGTGTGCGTGCACGCACCCGTGTGTGTGTGTGTGTGTGTGTGTGTGTGTGTGTGTGTGTGTGTGTGTGTGTGTGTGTGTGTGCATGGTTGCGTGCGCGCACCCATGTGTGTGTGTGTGTGTGTGCGTGTGTTTGCGTGCTCGCGCTCGTGTTCCTAATCACGTAGGTGGGACGGTAATGCGTGCACTTCGCCATGGTCCTAATATCGGACAACAGCTGGAATATCTACTCGCCACCGGTAACCTGGTGTCCAAATCTGGACTTGCACTTCAACAGGTATACTGGCTGTGATGGTAGTAGCTGTGCTGGTCTGCCCGCGCGCTGTGGGTTGCGCTTGTGTGTCTGTGTACTGTGGGCTGTGTGTCTGTGCGCTGTGTGCCGTGTGCTGTGTACTGTGCGTTGTGTGCCGTGTGTCTGTGTGTCTGTGTGCTGTGTGATGTGTGATGTGTGCACGTCACACCCTCATTTCGCCCAGGCATTGTTATCCTTGGCATGAGAAGACAGTACCATTGTTATCCTTGGCATGAGAAGACAGTACCATTGTTATCCTTGGCATGAGAAGACAGTACCATTGTTATGAATGCAGCATTTACACATGCACAGCGTTTTCTGGATGCACGCTTGTGGAGGATGGCCAATTGGGACTGGGAATGGTAGTCATGGGATTCACTAGCTCATCCAGTGATATGCCGCGCTGCTGCCGCTATGTATGGCTTTGGGGAATGGGGGATTGCATTGGCGATGGGGGCGGAGGGGGGGGGCAAATGACCAACTCTCTCTCTCTCTCTCTCTCTCTCTCTCTCTCTCTCTCTCCTCTCTCTCTCTCTCTCTCTCTCTCTCTCTCTCTCTCTCTCTCTCTCTCTCTCTCTCTCTCTCTCTCTCTCTCCTCTCTCTCTCTCTCTCTCTCTCTCTCTCTCTCTCTCTCTCTCTCTCTCTCTCTCTCTCTCTCTCTCTCTCTCTCTCTCTCTCTCTCTCTCTCTCTCTCTCTCTCTCCCCTCTTCCTCTCTCATCATAGGTCGCCGGTTTTGCACTGATGGCTGACAAGCTAAACTTCTATCGTTACCTGTCCCATTTTCGGTGTGTACATCGTGGTGCTTTCTTTGCGGAGATGAGAACGACGGCTGTGAGGCGTCTACTGCCCGAAGCATGGGGTAAGTCTGTTAAACACAGGTCACATGACTGCCACCCAACACAGGTCACATGACTGCCACCCAACACAGGTCACATGACTGCCACTCGACACAGATTACATGACTGCCACCCGACACAGGTTACATGACTGCCACCCAACACAGGTTACATGACTGCCACCCAACACAGGTTACATGACTGCCACCCAACACAGGTTACATGACTGCCACCAACACAGGTCACATGACTGCCACCCAACACAGGTCACATGACTGCCACCCAACACAGGTCACATGACTGCCACCCAACACAGGTTACATAACTGCCACCCAACACAGGTTACATGACTGCCACCCAACACAGGTTACATGACTGCCACCCAACACAGGTTACATGACTGCCACCCAGCACAGGTCACATGACTGCCACCCAACACAGGTCACATGACTGCCACCCCACACAGGTCACATGACTGCCTCCCAACACAGGTCACATGACTGCCACCCAACACACATCACAACAGCAACAACAACGACTATACAGTCACTGGTTGGAGGGAAAGACACATCTGAAGAAAAAATTGACTCTCACCACCAGGACTCTCACCAGGGACCCTCGCTTGTAGCCAGCGATGCTCTAACCACTGAGCTATGGTGTAGTCGTCATCCCAGCAGAGACCGTTCAACATTTTCTTCAGACTTCGTAGCTCGCACTTCCTGTGAATCCACACAGGCGGGTGGACGCAGCGTCCCTCTTTCATCCAACACTTTCTAAACCAGCACCCTCTCTAAAGCGGGATAAGCCCATGGCGCATTGCCAAATATGGAAGGTATGAGTGATGCATTTGAGTATGCTGGGATCAGGAATGCACTGTTCAATACCCCAGACGACCATGCCCAGGTGGCTGTGTGGGGTGTTTATGGTACAAATGACGTCATTGCGCAATGGGCTTATTCACAGAAGCTTTTTTTGCGATGCGATGGGCGATGCGACGCTATCTGCGACGGAGGCGTGCGATGCGAACTCGCAAAATACCATTCACGGAAGAAGTCAGTGATGTGACAACGCCTTGCTGATTTGGCGCGAAATTCAATGCATGTGGGTGCGTCACCATGGTATTCGCGTGGTTTGGTACAACTAGTACAAATTTACAGGCAACTCCCTTTGTAGAACTTTGCTGTAGAAGAGGTCAAAAATCGTACGCCAAATCGCTTGTCGCATCGCAAAAGTTGAGCCAAGCTAAACTTCTGCGATGGCCCAGTTGCGGCAGTTGCGTGGGGTGCGAGTCGGCTGCGATTTGGGGATTTCCCGGTTTCGTGGCGTGTCGCATCGCAAAAAGCTTCCCTGAATCCCGCTTTAACCAGCACATTTTCCAAAACCGAAATGTCCTTTTCGTGCACATTGCAGCAGTAAATCGGACTTTCTATCTAGCACCCTCCCTAATCCGGCAGAATTTCCGTACTACAAATAGTGCCGGATTATATTTTTAGGGTCGACTGTATTATAAATGGTGACGACGACGACGTCCACAACAACACAATTGCGCTCCTGCAACCCCGTACGCGTGTGTCCTTGACTTGCGTAGTGATTGAGCTACTGTATTATCTCTATTACAAGCCCAGTCTCTTGTAGAGGCTCCGTCTCTGTTTTAAGCGCACTCCAAGAGGGCTTCGGAGGTGTACTAGCCCAGTGTCCACTATAAGCGCAGGGCTTATAATGGAGAACTGTATGGCTCATGTCCGTGCACGTTTGACTTCACACAGTATCGCATGCACACATTGTGGCGCATGTCTGTGATCCCCGTGATTAAATAGTACAGACTGAGTATAGCAGGTAGTACTTCCTCCGCGTCATTAAAATTGTCGCTTCGCACAGCGCAATGTTTGTGACTTGGCTCGCCTCAGTCAGATTGTCGGAATCGCTGTTTTCTGTGTTCGAGCATTGGTGCGACCCTTCCTGCGCAATGTCTACTTGTTACTGAAGCCGTGGTTGTGTCGGACTTTGTCGGAGCTCTGTTCCGCACCAAGCGAATTCATCGCGCTCCGCACTATTCCGCCCCAGAGCGCATATCGTTTTTCTGGAGTTCGTGCCGTCCCACATCGTTCGCTTTGGCATTTATCAAGACTGCAAGCTCGGGTATAAGAATCCTGGTATCTCTCCTGAATACGAAATGCTGAAGTTGACGATGGCAAGAACAAAGTGTTCTCGAAGTCCTAAAATGGGCTACTTGTGGCGCATGTTGCTGCGAACGTAACGGGTCTGAAAAACACCAACAAAATCAGCGAAGCGCTTGCCCAAGAAAGACGTTTCGGAACTACTTACCCTATCCCGCTGGAATGTCGTTACAGTGCACTTGAAAAATGCTAGCTTGCCTTCATCGCCTGCCACCTGGAGGCATGGATCGCTTGAAAACAAAGTTTCTTGACCTGACTTTGAACGCGCATCTTGTTCAGCATATTGTTGAGTGCTGAAGGGTCTGCCTCAAACACTGACGAAAGACGTCGACCTTAGCTGCAAGTGCAGCGAAGCGGGAGGCCACAAACTAAAGCTTGGTTCGTCGACAATGCTCTGCCTCAATTTCTAGCTGATTTCGTTGCCCTTCGAGTGGACAAAATAAATTCGAAAAATCGCTCTGGGAAGCGACCATTTTAATGATGCGGAGGAAGTACAAAACTGCCATTCGCGGTATCTGGTGGGAAATTTTGTGCTACTATTATATTTATTGTGAAAAAATATTAACCAATGTACATCTAGCAGATGCATGTACACATTATTTTTGTGTGTTTTTCAAACATAGGTCTCTCCTTGAAATCGCCATTAATTTTACACTGTTATTTTTTTTAACTTGTGCCCACAACTTCCCATGTTACAACAATTTTCCTTGGCTCACCATCTGAGTTGAAATGCTGTTATTTTTGTTTTCGTGGTTTAACCAACTCAGGGTTCCTGTGTCCCGTGCACACTCCGGACGGCTCTCCGTGCGGTTTGCTCAACCACTTGGCGGCGCTGTGCGACGTGACCACCTGCTACCAGTCGGTGGCGCGTCTTCCCGCGCTGCTGACGGCCCTGGGCATGCAGCCTCACTCCGCCGCTACGCTGATGAAAACCAGGGTGGCAACCAGGGTACGTGCTGCTTGCCTGCTTCTAGTACCGTAAAACTTGGTTTAAGCGACCACCCCCACGGTGCAAGCAAAAGCGGTCATTAAAGCCAGATGGTCTTTAGAACCAGGTCCCACAGAGTCTGTATAGAACTGTCGGTGCCTGGAAAAACGGTCGTTAAGAGCAGGTGGTCGCTAAACCCAGAGGTCGCTTACACCAGGTCTTACTACATCGTAAAAAAATTCACGGTTCGCGTGAGACTCGGCTGGAAGCCGAGTTTTCCCCGTCCGTAGGAACACCACCACGCGCTAGGATCAAGGCGCAGATGCAGCTCCTAAGCGGTGGGAGGTGAATACCGTAGTCGTGTATAAAAACTGCGACTTCTATGACTTTTTTGGGGGAATTTTGCAGGCTTCTATATGAGACGGGCTCCTATTCAAGACAGGTATTTCTATATATGTCAACACTAAAACCAGGCTTCTATTCAAAACAGACTTCTATAATGAGACAGGCTTTAATACAAGACACTGCGTTTTTTTAGTTTAATTCGCAGTTGTGTAGGTGACAGAGCTAGGAAGAACAAACAGCTAGGATATCAGTTAGGAAGAACAGCTATAGTGCGTTTCAAAAATATAGACGCGTGATTTAAAAAAAAAAACGTTAGGTCAGCATCTATACCACATAAAATCTGTGATCCCTTTGTGCACAACATTTTTGAAATTGGCCGTTTGTCATCTAATCGCTTAAAAATGTATGTGAGTGTAGTTGGGGGAAGGACCTGAGCAGTATTCCGAAAAACATTCTCAAGAAGCTCCAGCGAAATTTGAAATATTTCAAAAATACCATGCGTCTATAGTTTTGAAATGGACTTTAGGAAGAACAGCTAGGAAGAACAGATAGGATAACAGCTTCTATGAATCTTGTGGAGAGCCGAGGATTACGATTTAAAGAAAGGACCGAAGTGTTTCATGTTATCCGTAGTTTCTGTCCAACACGAACCGTTATAAGTAAGATGTTGTGTAGTCAGAAGGTGCAACAGCTAGTACAATACTGACTGATGTGATACTGACATTCAACCACCTGATGGTAAGCTCTATCACAGCATCTTTTGGGGTTTATGCGAGTTATATGCCTTGTGATGCGTTCACCCGAAAGGAACTCTACCCTATACTGATAGGAATGCTGTGAATTCGACGCATTTCAATGGGCCACTTCAGAAGATCGTAAACCCAGTCTTAACCCTTTACCATCCGACCAAAATTCCCCAGCAGTCCCAAATGCAATAATTCTCACCTCATTTTGAGAATATCTTCGGTTCTAATCTGTAATTCTGCAAGAATTCTCTGAATTTGCAGTAGAATTATGGTTACATGAGGAGGTGAAAGCGAAGATGTGACAGTGTGTTAGGCCTTTCATCTCACATAATAAAACCCGAGATTTTTTAGTGACGTCAATAAACAAACACATCTTCGCGCCTTTATCCTCAGCTCCAACCTGACCCTCACTGGCCTTTTGAACGAGCTGCCAGAAAAACTAGTATTTCATGGAATACAACTTGAATTGGCAGGTGGCACTACAAAGTCATATACCATAGGAAGCGTGCAGTCCACACCTTGGAAACATGACACGGATAACGAGATAAACGGAAGTATTATACATTCGGCACCGCAGCCAAATAACACATAAAATAGTGGTCAATCCAACAGATGTGGATCACTAGAGCAGACAGTCAACCCACTGCTTAGGAACTGTGACAGCTAGGGTGGGTAGAAACGGAAACGTTCATCATAGAATGGGTGGGAACACACTGTCACATCTTCGCTTTCACCTCCTCATGTAACCATAATTCTACTGCAAATTCAGAGAATTCTTGCAGAATTACAGATTACATTTCAGAGGTTCCAGCTCGATGCTCCAGTGTGTCATTCAAAGTGAACAAAACCTAACATCGGTCTGAAGAGGCAGACACTGCAGTCGGTCCGGACTGAGCGATCAATCAGCATTCAGGACAGCTTGGGTGAACTGGGCCATTGCAGATGGCCGGTAGTAATGCCGAATAAACGTGCTGGGACCACTCCAATCAGCGGCGGCAAGCACAACTTCCATGGGGACACCAGAAGAGCGAGCAGCAGACGTAGCGGCAGATCGAGTTGAATGACCAGAGAACTGTGCAGTGTCTACTCCACATAATCCCAGCGCAGACTTCAACCAGCGGGAAATTGTAGCAGCCGTAACAGGGTTATGAGGCTGGTGGAGCGACAGCAGCAGCTGCGATGGTGATGTTTTGCGGAGAGTGCTAGTGCGCTTGAGATACTCCAACAAGCAGGCCACAGGGCAAAGTTGGGATTCATCAAATGATGCAATGAAGAAAACCTTCAATGTCCCAGCATGTTGGGTCTTCGTCGGCGCTGACAACGGTAACGAGACTCCGTCAGGTTTCCGTAGAAGCGGCCCTGAACACAGCAATTGGAGCTCGCGGGAGCGAGGTGCTTTGGCTAGCGCCAACAGAAGCACCAGCTTCTGGCTCAACTCCGTGAGAGAAAGATCAGGATTCTGGCGCCAGGACCGAATCGACGACACAACTTGACTAACGCTCCAAGTTGACGTATATCTGGGCTGTGGTGGGCGGCTGTTGTAGGCACCACGCATCACCTTCGCGACGTCCTGCTGTTGACCAACCGGACAGCCAGCTATCGACGGCAGCATGGCAGACAGGGCAGATCGGAAGACATTGAGTGTGCGGTACTGATAACCATTCTGGAACATGTCGGACAGGAAGTTGACTATCATCGGCAGAGACGCGTGAAATGGATCAACCGCCCGTTGACCACACCAGCTGTGCCACTTTCGCCAGGCACTGTCATACGACCGATTTGTGGAAGACCTCCATGCCTGACACCACAGCGAGGCAGCGTGCGCTGAAAAGCCACGCTCTTGGAGTTGCTGCCGGAGATGACCCATGCGGTCAGCTGAAGCCTGTGACGAAGCGAGTGCTGTTCGTTGTCTGGCCCCTGCACCACTGTCGGACTGAGCAGTTGTACCGGGTAGTCCACCAGCATTGACAGAAGCACGGGATACCAAGGCTGATTCGGCCATGCCGGGGCAACGAGGACCAGACGATGCAGCTGCTGTGTCCGCGCCATCTGCAGACATCTGCCCACGAGACGAAACGGTGGAAACGCATAGCCGTTCTCCCATAGGTGGGGCATGGAGAAGGCATCGATCCCTGTCGCCCACGGATCCCGATCCCAGCTGCAATACGTCGGCAGTTGGCAGTTGTGTCTGGCGGCAAAAAGATCGACTTGGCATGGTCCCAGACAGCGGTTCAGTTCCTGGAAGAGCTCCGGGTCCAACATCCAATCCGACGTTGAGCGTTGGAAGTGACGCGACTGAAAGTCCGCATCCACATTCTCCTTCCCGGGGACATGAACTGCGATGAGCTCCAGGTTTCTGTCGGTTGCCCACTGCCAAATCTCTTGGGCGAGCTGACATAGTGGCTGTGATCGTGTTCCGCCCTTCCGGTTCAGGAATGCAACAGTCGGAACGTTGTCGACCTCCAGGCGAATGGATATCTGGTGAGCCGTCGATGCGAACGTTTGCAGTCCCAGCTGCACCGCTCTCAGTTCCAGTCCGAACGTCCTCGGCTCGCACCGCCTGTGGGATGCTGTGGTGGACGGGACCACTCGGGCCGTTGAGGCCTGTATGGAGCAGGTCGGCTCGCGCGGGAATACGCCCCGGGGCGGCTTTGCCAGGGCCTGGAGGAAAAACCCTCTGACGAAGAGCGATGGTGGGTCGGCAACCGATCACGATGGGTGTTGGTCCAAGCTGACGTGGACTTGGCGAGGGTTTTCCTCACCTCGCCTTTCTGCTCCAGTTCCTTGTAAAATGTGTCACCAAACAAGGAGGTGCCCTCCTTCGGCAGCGGCAGCTCCTTCGCATCCTTCGCCAGTGCCTTGTGCCCTGCACCCTCCAAGATGGCGGCACGGCGATGAGCAGTCATCCGGGCATTGGCATGCCCCAACAGTACCAGTGATCGCTGAACAGCATCCAGGACTACATCCGTGGGAACGTCCATACTGTCCCCGTTGCTGATAATGTCTTCCCAGAGTTGGGTCAGTGGGCCACACGCCGACAAAAAATTCTGCTGTAATTTGTGCAGGCCACTATCCATGGTCTTCGGGAGTTTCTCCCCGAGCCAAGACGCAACGGCGTCGTCCACCGTTGGCACAACACATGCTGCGGTATCGGGACGTGGGTCCTTGGAGGTCATCTCCTTTACTACAGCATCACTTTGGATTGTCCGGAAATACTGCTCTACATAGCTCTGCACTTCTGGAGAGGCTTTATACAAATGCCTTTTCGTGGCAGCCTCCTCGCCCTTGGGATCGAACAGTGGGCGAGCCAAGGGAGTTGCCTGGCCAGCCAATGGGCCCTCCGGCAGATGCGACAGTCCCAGCTCCGGGGATGCGCCTGCAGAAATTCCATCTGGAAAAACAGAGTTCGTATGTGCCAGACCAGCCATTGGGTCGTTCGGCAAGGATGACAACCCCAGCAACGGGGGCGCATCCACTTCCATGTTCAACACGGGTACATCCTGCGTAGCAGCAGGGGATTGGTGCCCATCAGCAACGTTCAACGGGGAGGTAGCCATGGCCAGAGACGGATTTCGATCCAGGAGAACAATTTTTGGCATCCACACAAAGCGAAAGCGAGAGAAAAAAGGCCAGTGAGGGTCAGGTTGGAGCTGAGGATAAAGGCGCGAAGATGTGTTTGTTTATTGACGTCACTAAAAAATCTCGGGTTTTATTATGTGAGATGAAAGGCCTAACACACTGGAGCATCGAGCTGGAACCTCTGAAATGTAATCAACCAATTTTCACAATCTTGGGCATTCTGGAAAGCTCTCCACGAGCTGCGTACATTGAGCTCAAACAGGACACTACCAAGACCACATATCAAGCGCCAGGGAGCTTCAAATACACCCCATCGCTGGATATACGAGGAAATTCTCTCCTCGCCAGCCATTTCTCGCTCCTTCATCGTAAACATTCCAATTTTTTTGCTTGAGTTCCTTTTCATGCTGCCCACGCGCTCAAAGCATGCCAAAGTGACTCAGCATGTCAGGAGAGGGGAAAATCCCCGCTCAAGGTCAGTCACTCGGAAAGAAATTCGACTCTTGCCGTAGCTGAAATGTCGAGCAAAATATCATTGGTATGCGACATCGCAGCTCTTTACCGATTGATGCAATGGAAAGCTGGGTTCTTCGGCTTCTTCCTAGATATTTAGTTCTTTACATTCCGACAAGAATCGATCGAGTTACGGAATGTTTTAGTGTGTGCATGTCCATCGATCTCTAGAGATCCATTCAAGTACGCACGGATGGTAAAGGGTTAAAGGGGAAGTTAAGCCTAAAATCAAATTTTCACCAGTTGTAGTCCTTCGAGGCAGATAGGGTTTGCCGGGTGTTTGCGGCTGCCGTGAGTTCCCTTCGGGAACGGACACGATAATTTACTTCCTTTTTTTTAAACTTTTAGTCTTCGAGGTGCGGAGTCGAATGGCCTTGGTCCGAGGAAGCTGAGACGCTCCCTTCCTCCTTTATTCCCAATTGAACTCGCGCACTTCCACCGAAACTGGGTGACTGCACCCTGCTAGATGGGGATTTGTATGCAATATGTCACTAAAAGCGCCATTTCGTTCTTATAAAAGCACGGATGACCGCTATTGGCCCATATGTTGTAGTCTTTTGGACTGGTTTTGGTCCGAAAAGGCTGCGTTGCAGCGTTCGGGCCTTATTCCCAATCGAACATGGTTGAACAAGCAGTCACGTGCTCCTGCGTACACCAGTCACCTGGTCACCGTGCCTGCAGGGTACAACTTACAGCCTGTTTGGGTGCATTCCTGTCACTCGAGTTGAACTCGAGTTGAGCCTTGTTGTGAAAGTTGTCGCCTGCTGGCGTGGTGGAGAGAAGGAATAACATACGTGTAACATTTCCTGAGTTATTAAACGATGGATCATTTCTCGTTAACATGTTAGACTTTGTGCCCAGCTAGAGATTCATGTCGATACTCCCCTCCCACCGCTTCAGGAGCTGCATGCATGAGTAGTGTCCATGACATTCAGGATTTTTTCTCTTTTTTTTTTTCTTTTTTCGCTGCTGTCTGCTTGGTGTGCTCAGGGAGAGGTATCGTCATCATCGTCCACATCCCAGTCTTCTACGTCCTCCACCTCGTCGTCGTCGTCTCCGACCAGTGCTGGTGATCCTTTGTTACCGGTTCTACTCGATGGCAAAGTGTTGGGTTACGTCCAGGATGGAGAGTCCAGGGCATTCTGTGACCAGTTAAGACGCCTCAAGATTTCCAATAGCACTGAGGTAGGTGCCAATGGAACGCTGAGCAACTCTGCGTGCGGTGCGTGTGTTTGTGTGTGCGTGTGCGTGCGTGCACATGTGTACATGTGTACATGCGTTCATGTCTGTTAGAGGCATTAGGGGTAGGGGGTGCATCAGCTGCAGTGGAACAATTGTGGCCAAAGAAATCCAGCACACGTGCCAAATGCAGCGCCAAGGCCCCTGCGGCCCTCAGATCGGTTTTGGAGCGTGCATGATGTAATTGAAATGAAAACCCGGCGTTGCTTTAGACTCGTGGGTGGGATTTCTTTGGCCCCCAACTGTATATGGAACGGTTTTACCTACTGGACCGCCTTCAAAAAGAATGCTATGTTTTTTTTCTAGTTTCAGGGAAACATTGCAATCCGGATAATGCTTCTGTTTGAACTTGTTGTTGCCTTCCCATTGGTGCTGACTCTAGGTACCACGATCGTTGGAAATTGGCTTGGTGCCAGTCCTGAAAAGCGGCCCGTTCCCCGGCGTCTACCTGTTCTCAGGTCCAGCGCGTATGGTCCGGCCTGTCATCCATCTTGCTGCTCAGACCGTGGAAATGATCGGCAGCTTTGAGCAGGTTTGTGCCTGTGTCTGTGTGTGGGGTGGGGTGTGGGGGAGCATGTCTGTGCACACGTCTATACGTGCAGAGGGGTGGGGTGGGGGTCAGGGATTAGTGTTTGTGTGGGTAGTATCGTACTAGCAAGGTTGGTGGACTGTGTGTGTGGATGGTCTGCTGTGTGTGTGCCGTGCATGCGCCGAGTGCGTTTTTGGCCGAGTCGGTGGTAGACCGTGCAACCGTGATGTGTGCTTTGTCCACTCTGTGTGTGGCTGACTGAGTTTTTCTCTCTCTCTCTCTCTCTCTCTCTCTCTCTCTCTCTCTCTCTCTCTCTCTCTCTCTCTCTCTCTCTCTCTCTCTCTCCCCCCCCTCTCCTCTCTCTCTCTCTCTCTCTCTCTCTCTCTCTCTCTCTCTCTCTCTCTCTCTCTCTCTCTCTCTCTCTCTCTCTCTCTCTCTCTCTCTCTCTCTCTCTCTCTCTCGTGTTATTTGTCTGAAGGTTTGGATGGATATCGCCGTACGACCTTCGGAGGTCAAGAAAGGAGTAAGTACTGTACTAATTAACATATGGGTCGCAAGTCTCACTGCTTTCTTGTGAATACCAGCGTCGTAAGGGCTCTGTGACTTTTTTGCACGTTACCGGTCACCCAGTCTCATTACTTTGTGGTCTCCACTGTTTTTAAATGTTGTTCCTTGTCACTATGGGAGCCGTGCGTTAGCCGTTGCCAAGATGATGTTTGCTCTTAGGCCGTGCATTGGGTGGTGCGTTGCTGAGTGTTGCCTGTTGCTATGGTATTGTGTTGCTATGGTGTTGCTAGATAACCACACACCAGGAGGTATCGCCGGGCTGTATACTGAGTGCAGTGGCCTCACTGACGCCGTTCTCTGACTTCAACCAGAGTCCAAGAAACATGTACCAATGTCAGGTTAGCATTTGCTGCCCTCCTATCCTCTCCTATCCTCTCCTATCCTCTCCTATCCTCTCCTATCCTCTCCTACCCTCTCCTATCCTCTCCTACCCTCTCCTATCCTCTCCTATCCTATCCTCTCCTATCCTCTCCTATCCTATCCTCTCCTATCCTCTCCTATCCTCTCCTCTCCTATCCTCTCCTATCCTCTCCTCTCCTATCCTATCCCCTCCTATCCTCTCCTATCCTCTCCTATCCTCTCCTATCCTCTCCTATCCTCTCATATCCTTTCCTACCTCTCCTATCCTCTCCTACCCTCTCCTATCCTCTCCTATCCTCTCCTATCCTATCCTCTCCTATCCTCTCCAGTCTTATCTCCCTTCCGTGCCGGTTTTTGTCTCCCCTTCCCAATCTCTTTCTGCCCTCTCCTCTTCTAAGTCGTCTCCTTGTGAGAAGGCACCATTGCCTGTTTGGTTGAATGACTATAAATAAAAGCACGACCAAAATTATCACTTTGACACAATCACGGATACAAGTCTGTAAACAGCGTACAGGAACCATGAAACTGACACTACAAGACCTAGTCAAACACAAAGATTCTGGCAAACGAACTCTGATCGCACATCAGCGTTTAGGTGAAAATATTACATTTTTTGATAATTGGATTAGTAGCAAAATTCACTTATAAGCGCATGTGCTTATATGTGCGTTAATACGGTAGTTCCTTGGTCCATTTTCTTTTGTATAAGAGAGTAAATTTGTTTAACATAATAGAAATTAGCCGCCTCACATTCGCGTCGATTCTGCTGATGTTGGCAGTGTTGTGTGTTGTTGGCAGTGTTGTGTGTTGTTGTGTATTGTTGATTTATCGTTCAGATGGGCAAGCAGACCATGGGAACTGCTGCGCATTCTGTTAATCACCGTATGGACAACAAGCTGTACCGTCTACAAACTCCGCAGACTCCAATGGTATGTCATGTGCTTCCCTCCCCCCCCCCCCCCCCCTCCCCCATCTCATGCCATGTGCTTCCCTCCCCTCCCCCATCTCATTCTCATGCCATGTGCTTCCCTCCCCTCCCCTCTCCCCCCCCCCCCCCCATCTCTCTGTATTCATGGCGTGACGAGCCGGGATTTTGGATTTTCTTCTCCGGTAGAATTTTCCGGCTTGTTTCTCCTTTGCTTGTTTCTCCTGGATTAGGCAGGCATAGTGGGATGGTCTAAGACCATGATTGAGAAACAGAAGGTACCAGGTTCAAGTCCTGCCTGGAAGCGGAAGGATTTTTCCAGCCGTGTTGCGACCCACAGTTACTTGGGAACTCGTAGCCTGGCACGAGGGTAACATGGATGCAGTTAATGGGATTTCGGTCTTTGACCACTTTGTGGTGGGTCTGATCTACTCACCTCCCATCGTTTAGGCCAGTGGGGGTTGGGAGGGGGGGGGGGGGCGCGGGGGGGGGGGGGGGGGGGGGGGGCGCGCCCCCCCCCCCCCCCTCAAAAATTTCGACCTAGGTTTCGAAAAATAAAAGGCAGGGCGCCGGGTCTAGCTAGACTAGGCTCGGGGCGCGCGCGGCCTGAAACGATTGTCCAAAAGCGGTTGCACGTTACGGTGCTCGAGCTGGTGTTGATTGTACACACTACAGACTAGTACAGTACAGTCTACAGAGTAGAGTCTACGTACAGTGAGCATGCACGGCTACAGAAACACGGTGACCTGACTGTGTACTGTTGTACAGTGTGATCCCTGCTGGGACGCGCTCGACGCGTCTTCAACGGTACAAACATCGAAGAAAAGTCTTCGATCGAGTCAACCAAAACACGATTCGAATGCCGAGGGCTCAGGCGATCATCCTCGTTCGAATCGTGTTTTGGTTGACTCAAAGGCTTTTCTTCGATGTCTCAGGGACATCCCAAAAGGCCAAGCTCTAGCCAGCAGAGCCTGGAATTTTTGTAAAGCGTTCCTGTCGCGGCGCAACTCCTGCTGCCGCTCCAACAGGAAACAGTGGGAGTGATGAAGTCGCTGTTATTCCAGTTGAACTTTCGGAGCGGACTGACAGTCACACTCCGCCAGACGTGGAAGAACCTGTTGTCAGCGAGCAGCCAGAACATGAATAACAGCGCACAGTCACAAGTACCGCTGCCTATGTAAAGGATTCTTTGAGAGCGGTGAGAAATTGTTGGACTCGCATAAATAATTGCAGTTGATTCGCTCACATAACGGCGAATTTGAAGTTTACAATGTACATTGTTGCTGCGTGTATATGTACAGAAATACTGCTCGTGGTGTGTGAGATGTACGGCTTGTTGTTGTTGTTGTTTATTTTACTTCACCAAATGAACAGGCAGAGATGCCTTCTCACCTGCCCATAGGACAGGTTATCACAGAATGATGAAGGGATGATATACAAGGGAAAACAAGAAATGATAATAATAATAATAATATAAGACAGAAAGGACCAAAAGAAGAAAAGGAAAAATTTAGATGAAGACAATTTCATGGAGTCAGAAATAGAAAGACAATAATTTCATGGAGTCAAAGAATAGAAAGACAATTTCATGGAGTCAGGAACACGTGGGATTTTATAGACATGCATGCACAAATGATTGATAGAATAGAAGGTTGGAATTTATGGCAGATAAAAGTTTAACGAGGATATTCACAAAGTAAGTATATCAATGGCAGAACGAGCTTTTCGGAAGGGACCAGGGACACGTATCACTCTAAAATCAGAGGGGAGAGCGTTCCAGAGAATGCTTCCCCGAAACATCATGGTCGATCGTCCCGCAGGCCCACGAAGAAAGGGAACTTGAAGCAAGTTCGACACTTGTCCCCGTGTGGTGCGCTGATCCTCCAGAACAGTCTCTGGGGCCGTTCGGGTGAATAACTGTTGAAGAAGGGGCTACAGGAGGAGCTTCTTGCCATCGGTTTTCAAAATGGCTGACCTGGGACAGTAGCATGATGTCATTCTACCCCCACCCCATCCCGCCTTGATCCCGGTCGCAACCCCCCTCAGCCAAATCCTGGACACGCCACTGTAGGCTGTGCATCTGTGCCTTCATCCAGCGCGGTGCGCATAGAAGTCATCAGTACTTACAAATAGTACAAAGTTAAACCAGGCCCTTATACAGCTTATATTAGCCTTATGCCCTTCTCATCCGTCCCACGGTCAATGTGTTGGCCATTAGCCTTATGCCCTTCTCATGGGTCCCACGGTCAATGTGTTGGCCTGTGCGTGTGCGTGTGCGTCTGTTTTCTACAGGTTCGACCAGCGAAGCACGATCTGTTTGGTATTGACGAATACCCACCTGGAACCAACGCCATTGTTTGTGTCATCTCGTACACGGTATGCTCTTGGATATTTGTAACATGGGAAATTGTGGCTGCAGTGGTGTCTTCAACTTCATGGGAAATTGTGGGCACAAGTTATAACTTGCGGTAACTTGTGCCCACAATTTCCCGTGTTACACATTTTTTTCCTTGCCTCACCATCTGAGATCTTGGATATTGTACAACAATCATGCAATTTTCGGTGTAACTTTAGTTTCGGTAATTTCCGGTAGAGAAACCAGCCACCTAAATTTAGATTACACCTGAAAGGGGCTAGAGTATGCACTGTGAGTGAAGGGTATGCTGGTCACCTAATTCCGCATTACACCTGAAACCTGGCAGGTCCCTGATGCCGACAGTTTAGTACACCTAAATTTACATGTTATACCGTATTGACCCTGCTATCGACTACCTACATCATATCCTCGGGTTCATTGACCCTGCTATCGACTACCTACATCATATCCTCGGGTTCATTGACCCTGCTATCGACTACCTTGCCCTTGCCCTCAAGTACATCGACGCTACTATTGAGTACCTTGCCCTTGCCCCTGAGTACATTGACCCTGCTCTCCAGTACATTGACCCTGTTCTCCAGTACATTGACCCTGCTCTCCAGTACATTGACCCTGCTCTCCAGTACATTAACTCTGCTCTCGAGTACATTAACTCTGCTCTCCAGTACATTAACTCTGCTCTCGAGTACATTAACTCTGCTCTCGAGTTCATTGCCCCTGCTCTCGAGTTCATTGCCCCTGCTCTTGAGTTTATTGACCCTGCTCTCGAGCTCATTAACCCTGCTCTCGAGTTCATTGACCCTGCTCTCGAGTTCATTGACCCTGCTCTCGAGTTCATTGATCCTGCTCTCGACTTCATTGACCCTGTTCTCCAGTACATTGACCCTGGTCTCGAGTAGTTGACGTACGCTGGCACGTCTTGTTTACAGCAATGCATGCGCCGCTTGGCCCGGTCGTGTACCATATTTTTCCCGAATATAAGTCGACCTTGTACCACCTAAAAATGGAACTAACAAAAGGATACTCAACTTACAAGTTGGAAGGTTGTTGGCTTGCGCCTTGGAGAAGTGTTGGAGCTAGGTGTCAGGTCGCCGACTGTCTCACTACTCCTTGTCAGTTTTGTGCCATTTGTCGCACTCGCTGACTGTATAATGATCTGGTTTCGTTGGTGGACATTTAGTCATAACTCGTAACATGTTGTCCTTCTCCTTTTTTTACCGTAATGAAATTGGCTCACCATCCGAGTTCAAAATTGTAGTCTCCTCGCCGTTTGTTTAAACATGTCTCAGTCTTCCGATTTTTCTTCTTGTGTTGTTACCGGTTTGAGACACTCTGTTCATCTCGTGTTGCCATTGCTGCTCCTGTGCTGCTGCTGCTGCAGCTGCTGCTGTTGCGGCTGCTACTGCTGTTGCTGCTGCTGCTACTGTTTGCTGGTCTGTGGCATGTGTGTGTGTGTGTGTGTATGTGTGTGTGTGTGTATGTGTGTGTGTATGTGTGTGTGTGTGTGTGTGTGTGTGTGTGTATGTGTATGTGTGTGTGTGTGTGTGTGTGTGTGTGTGTGTGTGTGTGTGTGTGTGTGTGTGTGTGTGTGTTGGTTGACAATGTGTTCCAAGGCGGATGACTCACTGTGCTTGAAAACAGTGCTCATGACTACAACCTCCACGTTTGGCAGAGCACAGTGCGTCCTCCGCCTTGTAACATACTGTCAACCAAACAACATGTTATTCAACCAAGCAAGGCTTATCTAATACCGTGCATATGTGTGTGCGTGTGTGCGTGTGTGTGTGCGTGTGTGCGTGTGTGTGTGTGTGTGCGTGTGTGTGTGCGTGTGTGCATGTGTGTGTGTGTGTATCAGGGTTATGACATGGAAGATGCCATGGTCATAAACAAGTCGTCAGTGGAGAGAGGTTTTGCTGCTGCCACCGTCTACAAGAGTACGGTATGTCATTTTTCGTTGCCGGCATATACCATTGTACAAACGTCCGTAACTCCATCAACCATAGGTCAATAACCACAACAAATACAATGTTGGAAAGGCCT